CCATCTGGACATTAAATACTGGTATTGACCATCCCCCCCCCATGCCCAGTGGTGATGGAGCTGAGCGGATTTTGCTGCAGTCTTTCTTTATTTCTGTTTCTAGACCCGCACTCATGCCATTCCATTGTAAACAGATAATTATTATTTCATTAGTGTTCCAATTCAGAATTAATTGGCTAATTTACACATGGATCAATTGTATAAATGTGATGTTTGTGATAGGTGCTTGATATGATTTAAAGTAATTGTTTATTTTCAGGTTTTGGCTTGCATTGTATTGCAAAGTGATTTATCTCCTTATTTATCCTGTCTCAGCGCTGCCTCTTCTTTCTCATTATTTTTCTAAAGAGCTACACTCTTGCTAAGCTGAAGTGTGAACCTGTGCCGTGTGCTTCTGTGGTGCCCCACTCAGATTCGCTCCAGCCTGCCCTGCCGTACAGCCTGCTGCTGTTACACTCTCACAGCACACAGGTGACAAACATCCATCGCTTTGGGTTCTGTTTCCTCTTTTCCATCCCAAAGGGGCTGAGGAAAGCGCAGTGCCCGGTTCCCTCGCTCCTTTGTTTGTCCACCTGGGAGCACGCCCGGCAGCCCAACCGTGGGAGGACCGCAGCCAGGACTTGCAGGGCAGAAGCAGTGAGGTTTGCATCTGCTTCAGCTCTGACAGAAGGTTTTTGAGAGCGGCAGGACCTCCTCCTGCACAACCTCCCATGTCTTTGCAGAAGGCAGCCCTGGACAGCCAGGATTCTGTCCCTAGACCAGCCCCGTGCTCTCCTGTAGATGTTCAAAACATTTGGCCTTACAACAACTGTAGGGAGACAGTAATCCATCCAGACAGTACTTGATTTCACAGCTAACTTTAAACAGTTTCTTCCACAGGGAAGTGCTGAAGTACCTCCTTGCATCAGGGTTTTAGATGTTCAGAGGGAGAAAAAAGAAGGGATGAGAACACAGTTAACAGCTTGCCCCACGCAGAAACACTCCTTTCCCAGGCAATCGCAATGAATTCTTCCACCACCAGGTTTTAGAGCTGTTGTTACGCTGTCCAGGCAGCTAAAAACGATTTTGTGAATGCCAAAGATTAACTACAGTAGTGTTTGAGCCACTGCCAATGTCTCTTCCCTTCCTACTGCAAACAGTTACATACTATCAGGGCCTTTGTAAAAATCTGAGTTATTCAGAAACATTGCATTTCTCTGGCATTGTTTCAATTGCTTCTTCTGAAATGCATGATTGGAAACAAACAGAGGTCACCCAGAAAAAGGGATGCTACTTTCTCATCAAAAGGAAGGTCTCTTGCAGGATGTATTTGATAAGGATGTTTTATTCAAAACTAGAAAAACCACAAGTGAGTTGTGCTTCGTAGCCTATCTCAGGTTTCATTGGGTTGAGTGTATCAGCGCGTATGTGACGTGTGTGGGTTGAGAGGCATTTTGGAACAGTTAAAGTTGTTCCCTTATTATGCCTTACAATGGCATTTTTGTACCTTTAAATGGAAGGCTTTGTAAGTCTGTTTTCTCTCAGCTTTCTGGCAAGCTGAGAGTCTTTCCTGACAAATATTACAGAACCTTACAGCACTGCAAAGAAAGCAGGTTGTTTAATTTTTGAGACTTACATTTCTGAGGCTCATCACAGTCCTGTGTCAGATTCACAAAGATACCATTTTTACAGGAAAAGGAAAAATTTCTGGGTTGTGATGTTTTTGTGAAACGAGTGCCGTTGCAAATTCCATGTAATTTGGAATAAATCCATGGGGACAGAACTGATGGGCAATGATGGGATCTAAGTACATAGTACATAAGTGCAGTCTTCACCTCATACAGCACTACACATGTGCTCTGTATAACCTGATATGATGCTCTGAAGTCATCACAAACTCATACAACATACCCTTTGCTTTTGTCATTGTGACCTGCCCACCAGTCTAATTTCCAGGAAGCCTAATCATCTTTGTGTTGCTATCAGTCATCTGTGCACAATTTATCACTTTCACAAGCGAACGCACAGAACAGAGCTCAGCTAAATATACTGGAGGAAATCTCTTGTGAAAAGTGTCATTGGAGGATTTCAAGACAGAACACATGCCGTTCTTTGACATCGCATCCAAATGTA